TTTGATAAAATACATAATTTATTGGAACTAAGCTGGTAAAATGTATATGAAAGTCAATAAATTGTAAAACAAGAGGTAAGGTCTCATTTTTAAATTGAATTGGTGCATTTTAAGTGTATTTATTTATTGGTCCATTTCTATATTTCTACTTTTATTTCTAATTATGACAGTTTTGGTCTTCCATACTTGTGCAATTGGCATATCGCAAAAAATGTAAACTGTAACAAATTGTTTGCATTTATGCATTTTTGTCAGCATCAGTCTGATAAACAAATGGATCCGAGATCCCACATCAAATCATACCCACAGAGAGAAAATGTTGGACAACTGCAATGAGAGAGTTTGCAGTTGGATTTAGGTTTGTTAATTTTTATTTGACATTATATTCAGATGTTTTATTATTTATTTTAAAAACCTATAGTAAGGGGTGTTTTTCAGTATTTAGAGCATCAGAAAATGATTAATGGAGGTGATGTTTTAAAGTCATTAAGAAATTGTAGTACATGCAGTTGGCTGTTTCACTGCTAATACAGCAGCTGTGTGTAGTTTCACTTTTTAAAAATATGTCATGTTGGCATGGAAATGACGTATTAGTTTTTTCCATAAACACTGCATACTTCAGTTTTTGTTCTACTGGCAACCACCAAATGTTGACTGTCTTGCTTTGGAGCTGGTATGTTGGGACCTTTAAATGTCTGAGACTCTGCTTGTGATTCCTACTTTCCCCTCCTAGTGCTACTTTTGATCTTGGTTCTGCCTCGGCAGATCAGGATCCTCCAACTGACTTTCTGTAGTAAAGGTTCTATGACCTGTATTTGCAAGAAATTGGTCCTTGGCAGAAGTAGTCATATTCCTTAGCTTGCTCATTCATTCTGCTGCAAGAACAAAATGCTCACTTTTACATCAAATAAACATTTTTTGTGTAACATGGAAGATCCTGTTTGTCTGGTGTTCTGTTAAACCCATCTGCTCTTCTGCTATTTGTAAACTGAAACTATTTTCCAGCTGCTAACATCTTTTTGTCTGCAACACTAAGATAAAGTTATGTAAATAATTTTACCATAGAGGCTGTAGTACACAACAAAACACAAATCGCTTCATCGCACTAGCAAATACTGAGTTCACAAACAACAACTGGCCCAGATTTGACTAAAAATCAATTTATAAAACTGGGTTTGTGCTGACTCTCTGGTTCAGAAAAGCACACCAACTGAAGTTCGGTTGTCTCTCATTTTCAGGGCATAGAGCAGTTGAAAAAAGAAGAGCGACGATGGGCTAAAAAAACAAAATGGATGAACATGAGGGCCGTATTTGGACACCATTTCTCCTTAATGTGGTTTAGCCCTTTCTCAACCCCTGACCATGGCAAGGCTGAGACCTACCAGTATGTGGTGTGAGGCTCAGAATGAGGCGGCTGCTCACAACCAAAGTATGAAGGCCAGCTGAGTTCAGCTCTGTTTACACTGGACAGCCCACGCTAGCAGTGGACAGCATTTTATCTGCTTCTTGTGTTGCCAAACGTGTACTGTTTTAAGTTTTTTTAAATGCCTTTTGTTGCAGAGAAAAAGAAACCTTGTCAGTCTGAGTTCTGTTTGCCAACACTGTGATGAATGGTTTGTTCGATATCTTTGCTGTATCCAAAAAAAAAACTTTTTTTCTTTCATTCGTTCTGGGTTCACTTTCTGATTTTTCTTTAAAAAATTGGTTCAGCCAAATTACAAAAACAAAACAAAACCAAATATCCTTTTTTTCTGCTGGTTGATGGCCCTTCAGATGGTTTTGTTGTGGTTGCCTGGTAATTTCTTTTAAGAAAAATTGGAAATTAAGTAGAATATCAGAATAAAGCTGTAAATCTAATATTTTATGTTGTGCATAAAAAGGCAAACAAGCAGCCTCAAGCAGCAGCTTGAGGGTCGAGGGTGATTTACAGAGTCCCTGCACAATTTCCATTTTGAAACGTCAAAGTTTTCTAGACACACAATTTTTTACATTCCTTTGACAAAGTTTGAAAAAAAATTTTGCTTTAAAAAATAGGAAATTGTGTTTTTTCAGCTTTGTAAAACAGTCTGTTTTAAACACCATGAGAAGCTACCAATTCTGAACAAAAGATGAACTGGAAAATCAAAATTTTTCTGATTAGTTTATGATTATACC